AAACCAGGAGTTACAACCATTTCTAAGAGAAAAGAGACTTTTTATAAATATACGGCAATTCCCAGTTCCCATGTCAAGGATCAGGTAGTGCACAGGGGTACTCAAGGTACCCCTCAAAAGACCAGTGACAGCCTCACAGTGCCAGGCCAGGGTTTGCACTAATGCCTTCCTGAAGAGCATAGTCTCTGTGTTATTTTTTTATTTTTATTTTTATTTTTTTTTTGGTTTTTCGAGACAGGGTTTCTCTGTAGCTTTGGAGGCGTCTCTGTGTTATTTTGATGCATACACTTGATCAGCAACCATAGAGCATGCTGGCAACAGTTCTTTTAAAAACAAGAAAAAAGTAAACACCAAAGGGACTTGCTGGTTATCTCATTTGCACTATTCAACACACTTGTCAAACTGGGGCTGAAGAGCTGGCTCATCTGTTAAGAGTAATAGCTGCTCTTCCAGGGAATGTGAGTTTCATGGCAACTGCCTGTAACTCCAGTCCCCAGAGGCTCCAACACCCTCTTCTGGTCCCCAGGCACCAGGCACACATGTTATTCAAAGAATACACGCAGACAAAATACCCACACACATAAATAAAACCAATACAACATAAAACAATCAACAAAAAGAACAAATTAATGATTGTGTCAGCCGTATCCCATGGTGAGAAGTGTTTGTAATAATATGCCACCTAGAAAGAATTTTCATAGATTGAATAGGTAACACCCTTTTTTGAGATTCTTACGAGTATTTTGCCTGCATGGACGCATACTTGCATGCTGGTGCACTCAGAGGCCAAAAGAAGGCCACTGAATTCCCCTAGAACTGAATTTACAGCCAATTGTAAGCACCCCATGGGTTCTGGGAACTGAACTTGGATTCTCTGCAACAAAAGCAAATGCTCCTAATCACTGAGCCCTTTCTCCAGTCCTCAGACCTGATTCTTCAAGGCAAATATAAGACACAAACAACAAAAAAGATTTGTGACCCAATCAAAAGGAATATTTTGGGATTATTAGATTTTATTACTGTGACTATAGCAGCTTCTTGTCTGTGAACCAGTAAGGGTAGCCACACCCCCTTTGGGCGTGGCTTCAGGCGGACGGAAGTGGAAAGAGGAAAGCATGAGGCATAGTCTCTCTCCCGAGCTTTCTCTTGAGTCAGTGGATCCGATCAGAAGGGCAGAGAAGCGCTCCCGTGGTCCTTTATTATTATCTGTGTAAGTGTCTCCCAATAAACAACCATTTATCTTTTAACTTGGACCTAGTGAAATCATTACACCTTCCCCTTCACGGTGACAAAAACCATGATCAAGGCAACTTGGGGAGGAAACGGTTTGTCTTGCACGGTCACACTGCAGTCCATCTATCATCAAAGGAAGTCACAGTAGTAACTCTAGGCAGGGAGCTGGAGGTAGGAATTGAAACAGAGGACATGCCAGAATGCTGCTCTCTGGGTCGCACCTCACGGTTTGCTCCAGCAGCACCTGTCCAGGGGTGGACCGCACACAATTGGGTCTCTCCACATCCACCATTAATTAAGACACTACCCCACAGACTAGCCTACAAATCTGGTTTTATGGACATTTTCTCCATTAAAATTCCCTCTTCTCCGGATGTGTCTAGGTTTGTGTCAAGTTGACAAGAAAAAAACAACCGGCACAATATGTTGACAAAAATATCCACCCACAAAAAAAAGTATACTGTTAAAGCTGAGAAATAAAACCCCAGAGTAAGTTTCTCTGTTGGTTTTTAAGCTATTGTCATCAGTGACAAAGACTGTTCCTATTTATTAAGATCAAATTACTGACACCAAAAAAGACAAAAATCTACTATCAAGTATTTGAGAAAAAGCTCAACAAGCCAGGTAGTTGGAACTGAATGTTTCTTCTAGGAAGCATAGCTATTCTGCACCCAAAGGTATCAGTGATAGCTGTTTTCAAGCATTAAATGACCTCTAAAATCAAGCCTTAAGATTAACTTACCGTAGAACCAAAACATTGAGCTCTTTGCAAAAAGTGCAAACAGAGTTTCAGAAATAAAAGTTTTTAAGGGCTCAGGAGTTCAGTGGTTCTGAGCACTACATTAATAATAAAAAACCCTTTCAAAAATAATTCCTTTAAAAATTTTTAAAGGTTTGTGTGACTAATTTTAGTAAGATGCTTTTATTTGTAAATTTTGAAATACTAAAAGTGTGCTGGCTAGTTTTGTGTCAACTTGACATAGGCTTGAAAGATGGGAACCTCAGTTGAAAAATGCCTCCATAAGATCAGGCTGCAAGCCACCCTGTAGAGCATTTTATAATTAGTGATTGATGGGAGAAGACCCAGGCCATTTTGGGTGGTACCACCCTTGGGCTGGTAATCCTTGGTTCTATGAGGAGGCAGGCTGGGCAAGTCATAAAAGAAAGCCAGTAAGCAGCACCCCTCCATGGCCTCTGCATCATCTCCTGCCTCTAGGTTCCTGCCCTGCTTTGAGTTCCTGCTCCAAGTTTCTTCAATAGTGTACTTTGATTTGGAAGTGTAAGTCAAATAAACCCTTTCCTCCCCAACTGTTGAGTGATAACTTGATGAACCAGTGAGCTTTATTGGAGTTACTTAACAGAAGCAGAATGACGCAGACAGCTCCAGCATGGACAACAGCTCACAAAAGCAGGGAAACCTGAAGCACACCATACAGTCTGCAGGCACCTCAACAGACTGAAGAATGTCATTTCCAAGTTGACTCTGGTCTCTTCTAGACAACTGAGCTGGTTTCTACATGTTCCAGGCAGCTAGCCTGGTCAGAGTCTCTTTGCATCTTTTTCCCTTGGTCTTTTTTGTAACTCAACTTCTTTGAATCTTCTTTAGCTTTTCCCTCTGAGAGGGGGCTCTTAGCTTTTATTGTTTACTCTGGCAAAAGGGGACCTAGGGAAATATGGTCAGTTTTAAGAACTTCCTGAAGCTACTTTGAGTTTTTGCCTTTTTAAAAAGCTTCCCTGCAGGATGGAATGTTTTAATCTTGGAAAAATTGCTACAAGCACCTACTTGCTTTTGGTCATGGTGTTTCAAAATAGCAATAGTAATCCCAAGACCAAGCTTATAAAATAATTTGTGTATATGTCCAATGTGTCCTGTGCACATATGCAACAGCTCAAAGTCATCCGGAGACAACCCGGGAGTGGCTCCATGTCTTTCATCTTGTATTTTTGAAATGTGGTCTCTGCTTACCACTGCAATGCCAGGCTAACTGGCCACCAAGCTTCCAGGATTCTTCCGTCTCCATCTCCTACCTTGCTGTAGGAATGCTAAAACAAGGAGCTCTCATAGATCCTCAGAAACCTGACCTTCACACGTGCAGAGCAAACTCTAGGGTGATCTCCCCAACCCCAAATCATTTTTGAATAGCATGGATCTTACTTAAAAACCATTTGGGGGGGTGCACATTTCTTTAATTCCAGCACTAGGGAGGCATAGGCAGATCTCTGAGTTCAAGGCCAGCCTTGTCTATAGAGTGGGTTCTAAAACAGCCAGGGGCCAGCCAGAAACCCCATTTCAAGCAGCCAAAATTTTTTAGTTTTAAAAGATACAAATGCCACCCACAATACTTTAAAATGTTTTGTCTTTTTTTCTGTCTTATGCGTACTAGTATACGAGTACATGTTTAAATTTTTAAAATTTGGGGGCAGAGAGATAGCCATCGTTGAATGTATATTCTGTTTACAGAGGACCTAGGTTTGGTTCCCAACACACACACACCGACTCATAACTTAGTGGTTCTCCACCTTCCTAATGCTTTGATCCTTTTTTACAGTTTTTGTTGCTACTTCATAACTGCAATTTTGGTAGTTATGAATTGTACAGAATTATTTGATATTCAACCTCTCCATGGGTTGCAACCCACAGGCTGAGAGAACTGCTGCTCTAGTTCTAGTTTACAGATCTCCTGGTCTCTGCATGCCCTGTATGCACATATAAACTCACACAGGCACACAAATACACATTAAAAAATTTTTAAGTTAAAAATGTTTTAAGTACACACACAGAACACTCCACAGAGCACAAAGGCAGTTGGCAGCATGTATACAGCATTTGTGCCTCATGTCTGTGTCTATAAAAGAAACTTCTCCAATTCCTAGGAGTGGGGAGTCAATAGTCTTTTCTGTGCTGTGCTTTTAAATTTAATTTTTAGCCCATCTGGACTTTCTTTGATGAATGGTATGGCAGCTTCAATTTAATTTTCTCCAGCAGTTCTCAATGAATAATTCCTCATGGCCAGAATAACTTTTAAAAGCTCATGTCAATGTATGCATCATTCCTATTTTTACCCATTTCCCCTGTGTATGCTTACAACATTGTAACTGCTTTAAATTTAATAGTACGTCTGAAAAATGTGATGTATAATTTTTAGTACAGCAAGTTCCTTCTTTCAATGGGCATTTTTCTATTTTCATTTGTTTACACTTTCACATTAGATTTTAAATTTTATTAAAAACAAGGTTTTTGGCCTTTGTAATGGCTTTGTATAAATTCATATGTTAATCCAAAAGGAAATGACATGTTTACAACAGTCAAAATGTTATTATTAAAAAATGCTTATGAGCTTCTGGGTTCCTCCAAGGAAATTATGCCTATTATATATGCCTACAGCACATATATATACCCATGTCTAAAGCACATGTACACATACTACACTGGCAGCATGTTCATACATACACACATATGTACTATATACACCCACAGTACATGTGTGCACATATACTATGTCACCTACAGCATGCACACACACTATACCTACAGTTCACTCATGCTTACACACTATACACTACACTTACAGTACATGCTTACAAACACACGGTAATGCCTAAAGCACATGTAAACAAACAGTTCTGTCCTCACTGAGGTTAAGGCTGACAGTGTCTTGAGTTGTGGCTACTATGTTACAGAGTACCCTGTAAGTGAAACTGAACATCCAATGTTACCACAGTGAACCAGGACATCTAAGATGCACAAAACTTAATAACAAAACAAGTTTAAGGACATTTGTACAAGATTTATTTCTCATTAACCACAATGTTTTAGAGTGAGAATATACATCTATTACAGAGGAGTGATTCAAAAAATCCACCAAATGTTTATAAGGAGAGCCCAGGCCAGCAGCTTTGTGCCCCAGCTCAGGAAGCGCTTTAGTTGTGTTGTGTGAATGAGTGGCAAAGGGTAGTACCAGATTTGCCATGCCTTATGAAAAATGGTCAGGACACTAGACAGCAATGCTTCATTCACTCTGCTATGCTGGTGGGTGGCAAAGCTTGTTGCCTGCATGTGATCTCCAAATTTTGTATAAGCATTTGTTTGAGTCACAGTTCCTCAGGACTTGACATAAATAATTTCTCCACAATTGCACAGTTGTAACATTGACAAATAAGACTAAAAGAGCCATGGGCATTGTCAACCATTCAACCAAACACATCCAGGAAAACATCCAGTCTTACTGCATTTAGTACAGCCACAATATTTAAATGACACATAAGACCCAATACACGCTATTTTTTTTTCCAAACCACTGCACTCTTAACCCCAGAGTCACACTGATTTCCCAGAGGTGTGTAATCCATCAGCACTCTCCTCACAATGAATCAAGCCTAAGATGAAGAGAGGTGGCAAACCTCCTCCCCACTGGCCCTGGAAAGAGGTTCAAGTTAAGGTCTAGGGAGTGCAGGAAGGAGGCAGTGACAGCAGGTGAGCAGCAGGGGGACCAGAGAGGAGGCATTTCCTTCAGGAAAGAACAGGTACCTCCTTCCAAATATTCTGGGGGTCGGAACCAAGGCAGACTTCTATGCGTAGTTAAAGCACAAGAGCCATTTCTTTATGAACCCCTGCAACTTCTGGTAAAAATGAACCTCACTTTGCAGTCTTACTGAAAGCAGTAATCACAAAAGAAAAGAGCCTCTAGACTTGTGTCAGGTGTCAGTTAACAGTGTCACATTCCAATTTTAATGTCCCCTTAAGAGACCTACACTTGGATAAAAGCAAATAATCCAAGCTAAAAGCTCGAGGGACACACCATAAAAACAAATAGCAAACAAACAAACAAACCTCTAAACACTAACAGCTGGATAGCTAAATGCAGGATTTTTGTTTGCTTTTTAGTTGCTTCTTAATTATCTCAAATTAGTATATTCTATGAACATATATTCAAAGAATAATGCTTAGTTTAGTATTGGCTGCTTAATAAACAACTGAATCTTAGCTCAAGGGCAATTCTTGCATACTAACCATGGAAATAATTAACTGCTGTGAGAGAGAAGGGAGAAAAAACAAACAAACACAGCCTCAATAAGACAGCACAATCTGGAAGGTTATTTACAGGGAGAATCAGGAGGTCACTTAACTCTTCCCATTACCTGCAGAAACAGTACTGTTTGCAAGCTCACCACGGCCTGTGCTAGCAGGTATACATATGAAGCCTCTTGTACTATAACCGTTGATGCTGTTTGGTCTATACAGAGTACATCGAAGAGAGGAGTGTGCAAACTGTTCCTGAGGAATCATTTCGTGTGTGCAAATTTGCAACCTGACAGAAAGCAAACAAGGGGGGCAGGCAGCAGTTACACGGGTCTGAGCACTGGAGACATATATGCAGTGTCATGACCAAGGGCACCCATTCATCTGCACTCTCACCCACACACAAACCAACTTCCAATCGGAACCAGAAGAAAAGACTTTTCCACAAGTCTCAGTAAAGAACAAATTGTGGCTCTCTTTAAAGGCCTACTTGTAGGCAAACCTATATACTTGCCAGTTTAGCCAAATCGACTCCATTGCACTGGCTAGCTGATCCAAACCATCTGGCCTTTGAGGATCTGACTAAGAAAGGAGTCTTAAACAGGGGTAGAAAAACTGCACATTGGACTGGCAAGAACACAAGCATACATGAAAAAAAAATATTTTTCCTCAAATTCTAAGTGGGAAAGAGCAGATTTTATTTTCTCATAGTTGAGGACTAAGGATTCTGTCAATTTCACCTTCATTAAGGTTTACAAACTGTAGGGATCACACACACACTCTCCCCAGACTTTCAAGATCAGCATGTGTACCCAGCTCTAACTCAGAGAATTTCACAGGCTTTCCTCTGCCTATTTTGTGCTAACACAGAATGAGTATGACTATTTCTCCATCAACTTAATAATGCAGAAGCACCCACTTTAATGCCCATTTGTGTAAAGCTTTTATAGGGAAAGTTCTGTTGGAGGAAAAAAATGCTCTCTTCCAGGAAAGGAGAGAGGGTAAAAATTAGACACTGAGCCACTTACCTATGTCTCAAGAAATGCTCAACTTTACTACTGTCAAAAATATTAAAGCCATCTAGAAGAAACCAGTTACAAATGGTATTTACAACCTTGTAGCAAACACTCCAACAGAAAAACAAACTTTGGGATTCTTGATAAAATGAAAATTACCCTTGACATTAGAGCAGAAAAACTGTACAGGCCATAATTAGAGCCTGCCTGTCCTCACGCAGGGTTCTTCAAGGTAACCCAAATAAAATTTAAGCCAATTAAAGCCCCCATAAACTCTACCAAATGCAGAGAAGTATCAGAAAGAACTAGACCATCATTTACAAATCCAGGACTGCTGCTACTGGGCAACATTCTTGCCCCCACTGTCCCATTTCTGACTCTTCATCAACCCACTGAGTTCGCAGTAGTAGCTGGGGGTAGGGATGGGGATGGGAGTGGGGGGCAATTCTCTGAAGGGAAGGGTCAGAATCACTGTTGGCTAAAGCCTGGTAGCACAAAGTCAATGCTCACTTGATGTTCAAGCAAAATTGAGAATATTTTTCCCTCACCATGTTGATTCTTGTTTACCACTGAAAAATAGCTGGAGCATGCTTCAGACTTTTGTGAAGACCTAAAGAGCACTGTTGATGTAGTGAAACAGAAAATACAGCTTTATCACAGCTGAAGGAAGCCTTCAGACGCCAGTGCAAACTCTCCCCTGCTGTTCTCAAATATCACACATGATGTTTACAAGATGCAGGGCACAGCCAACCTCTTACAAATACTAAACGCACCCATTAGAATGTGATGGACCAAGAACCACTCACCATTATTTGGCTTTAATAACTATTTCTCCCTAGAGGGGTCCAGGAAGCGGCTCCCACTGTTTAGTAATCTCTACAGTATCATGGCCCTGGACCAGAACTCCACCCATACCACAGAGGCCGGTAAGATCAGGTGAGGCGATGGCAGAAAGGACACCGCTCAGTCAAGAGTTGGTCCTCATGAGAACTGGGATAGGAGGGTGAACTCTGACCCCTGGTCATTTTCTCAATCAGGTCCCGCTACAAAGCCACACCAGAGGCCTTGGTAGACCAACTTGAGATATCAACTTCTCCAGGAAGCATTGTGAGTCTGATGACAAGGTCACACAGTTGCAAAGTGCACAAAGCTCAAGGCACAGAGTTAAAAATGTGAATTGATGGGGAAAGTTATAGTGAAAGCAGTTATTGGCATTTTTCTTCCTGTAAGACTAATGTTAAACATAGACCAATTCTGAATTTAAAACAGATTGTTTGGGACATGGGTGAAAATACTGTATTATAACATCTGCTTGGTTTTAAGCAAAGATACCTTGACATGAGACACAGACACCATGTGCCAAGTCCACAAATGAACAAGTTTTTGGAGGAAGCTGATTTGCATGTTGGGCTTCACTTGGCAATGGCCACTCCCCAAGATACTTGCTCTGTAGATAAACTCATTAAAAGATTGTCCTATTTCAAAATCACCCCCAAGTCTAGCAGCAACTGTTTTTGTTAGTTCTTGTTTTTGAAAACTGAAAAATCAAGGAAGTGTGCCATCCTCTCTGAGAACAGCCTTTTGACAGAGCTCCTGAGTGGTGCAGGCCCCACTGTGCCTGGAACAGTTTCTGCAGCTCCAGTGTCTTCTCTCTGGGAGAAAGTATTTCAACAGTCACTATCTATATCCCCTGGAACTTGCACAAGCGGACGGACTGTCTGAAAAAAAAAGTCAGAAGGAAAACCATGAGAGACAAAGAACACTCTGTTCACGAAAAGCTATTTCTCTCCTGACCCCATCTCCTGGTGTGTTTATTTTAAAAACTTTGAAAAAATAACATAGTTCTGAGAGAACTGAAAAGGAGCCAATACCATCAGGAACTGATCTTGGGACATTATCCCAAAGAATCTCCAGGTCATGCCATCTAGACCACCACCTCCACTCACATGGTCTCCACACTCATCCTCAGAAGCTGGCCCACATCAAAACCCATCAAAACAGGAAAAGCATCATCACTTACTATAAGCCAACTCGTCCCCAGCTCTCTTCCGGGACTGGTCACCTCTAGGGATAAGAGGAAGAAGTCAACAAAACTGACTGGTTTCTTTACACACAAAAACAGTAGAAATAAATAGACGTATGTGATATACAAACAGCAAATCCTTCAGATTCTAACCCAACAACCTGTTTAAACAGACATTAAACATCAGCTGAGTAAGGGTATTCTTACTTCAAGGGTATATGTAGTCTGTTAAATATAGGAAGTTATTGAATGAAGGATAATCTATAGACAGTTTACAATAAGGACTAGAAACAGGAGCAAGCTAAAATACGTCTTTGACAACAACCCCAGACTCTGCTAATATTATTCCCAATAAACTGCACATACTAGCAAGACTTTAAATATTGAACAGAGGGAAGTTAAAAAATCTTCCCCTCAAGCCACAAACTGAGACTCTCAAAGCCTTTGGAAGTCAGAAACTAAGGTGCTTGAAGACTCTTGTGACCAGAGAGCACAAATCTTCAAATACAGTACCCAGCCTAGCCTCACAAGCAGTCAAGTTCTGCACTGAAGTTAAGAGTGGTTGTGAATAGGCCACACCCATGCCTCTCGTGCATCACACTGACGTTCTGGCTTCAGACACTAATCCAAACTGCAATGCTTAAGCAATGAGCAATAATGGCTCCACTTACTCATCTCTCAGCCAAGGATGCAATCAACCCTCCTTCCTCTGACCTTCTCCCACCCACTGTTGGTGCCCTTTGTTGGCTCGGCTAAACACTGTCACAGGCCACCTTTTCTTCTATGTATTCTTCCCTTTTAAGATGCAGACCATACCAGTCTGGGGCTCAGAGATTTACAGGCAGCTGATTTCTGTCTGAGATCTATAGGTTCAGCATTCTAATCAGTAAATACATACTGAAAATTTATCATACCCAGTACATAATGTCTGTTCAGCTCTATCCCTAAAACCTTCTTCAGGCTTGTAATATTCTAGACAAAGAGCCAGAGTGAGCTTATAAACAAGTTTAGTTCACACCTCTGATTAAAACTCTTCATAACTTTCAATTACAATTTAAAATCAATTCCAATTCATTTCCCAGCCAGTGTCACGGCTCTGAACTCTCTCCCACCTTATTTTCCAGCCCTTATCACCTCTGCTCATTTTTGGGGTGGCTAACTTTCTGTTTGCCACTCCCTTCCCAAGGCGTCACACGGCTGTCTGTTCCTTCTCACCTCAACTCAGTCATCCCCTTGGAAGCCAACACCATGTCAATGATAGCCCTCTACTCTACTACTTCATTGTCTGATTCTCTTCACAGTGCTTATTTTTTTACTTGAAATTGTATTTTTTACAAGTTTATCATTTGCTTGCCAACAGTAGACCGTAAGTACCATGAAAGTGGGTGCCTCACAGGGTCTAGCACGTGAGAAACACTGGAAATGTATCTGTTAAATTAACAAATTGGTTAAAAATTCATCGTCTCAGATGATTGCTAAAATGCTGAGCATCCCACATTTCAATTAATCAAACAATAAAACAATTTGATTACTAAACCAATGCTAATTTTGAAATATTATAAGATTTTGGATAAATCTCCAGATATTCCAAGTTTATTCTTTTTCCAATTGCTTCTGACCAGGACAGATATCTCTAGCCAAGCTAAGGATCCTTGATGGTTGGCAGAGAGGCCCTAAGACATGACTGGGAGGTATATGATTCTTTACAGTGAGAATCTAGAAAAAAAAATTCCACTGTATTCTCCAAGAGTAGCCCTGAGCAGCCTAAAAAGATATCCTACCAAAGCCAGACAAGTGTGGTTATAATGCTGATTAAAATTGAAGATACAAATATCTGGAACCCCACGCCTAAACAAAGCATCCATTCCTACCTCCTTCACTGGTTACATAGAACACATCCAATTAACAGGTGAAATGCAACAGGGAAACAGAAGGAATAAAGTAACTAACTAATGTATGTATATACTAAAGACTGTCAGCTGTACACTGTGCTCCGTTATGAAATGAAAAAGTAATTTTAGGGGCCACCCTCTCAGCTAAAAACAAAAACAAACAAACAAAAAAACCACCAGTACCTCTACAAGGGTCTACTGTATTTCAGAAACTGAGGTCACCTCTTCTCTGATGGAACATCTTATATGCCTTTGCAAGATGTTTGGTGGGACTCTAGGCTGGCCTGAATGGTACACTCCAGCCCTGGGCCCATGTTTTCTATTTCCCAAAAGGCTATTTCTGACATCAGACACCAATCTATCCCCCCTCCAACAGATTCAATTACCCACAAAAGATCATATTTTGAGCTTCCATATGTCTATTCTAGTTTTTTGAAATAGTCTTCTCTGTATTTCCATGCATCTAAAGATCTACAGAGGGAATATATCTGAAGACATATGCATGCTACATAAAAACATTTCAAAGATTTTGACACAAAATGAAGAGCTTGTAATACCAATAAAGAACCACAAACTTGGGTGAAATAAAACTCACAAAGTACTGTTCATATCCAAACAGAAGTGAAAGAATTATTTGGCAGCCTGTATATGTTGGGTTTTCCTCCCCTTTCAAATCAGTGAATGTTATTTCTCTCTACAACAGTCCTAGCTAGATAGATACATAATGGCTAAAGAGAACTAAGTAGACAGGGTATTACACAGAAGGCCCATGACACAAAGACAGGCTTTCTGTTCAGCATGATAGTCCTTTATGATAGGTGGTTAAATAAGCAAAAAAATGGGTCATAGGATGTCAGCTTTGGCAGAGCCTACTCTGTTCAAAGTACCCATCAGAATCATTAGAAGGCTGAGTTTAACCCTCATAGTAAATGTGTAATACGGTGTTAACTATAAAAATGGCTTGATCAAGTTTGTGCTACAAGACATTTTAATTGTACTAACTCTTGGAATACTAACTAATGTTCAAAACTCAGCCAGAAGCTGTTTTAAAGAACCCCATTATGAGTAATAAAAAGTCTAAATTTACACCAAAAGCCCAAGGCAGTTCCCTGATCCCCTTGGCCTTGGCAGCACAGCCCTGAAATAGTTCTTTCAAAGCAAAGGAAATACAGTGTGGTGGTGCATCCAGAGTCAGAGGCTATTCATCTCACCCAACCCAAGTCATCATGATAGCCATACTCAGCAGATCCACCCTGTTCACTTGTTCTTGTCCCCAAGCTAGGACTAGGAGACACCTATGGATGAACCTCAACAGTTCAGTGACACACGCAAGAACAGGTTTTCAAAGGGCGACTTTTTAAAGGGGGAATATCTAGGGGTTGAAGAGATGATTTTGTGGTTAAGAGCATTTGGCTCTTGCTGAGGCCCTGGGTTCAGTTCCCAGCACCCACACTTGAGTAAAATCCCAACCTATGCATTGCTCTTTTGGCCTCTGTGGGATCCTGGGATGTGTGCAGTACACATCTTTTAAACAGTGAAATAAAAGTATCTAAAGCAAAATTTAATTATAATACAAACTACAGAAGTCACAAAAACCTTACCCTAATACAGTTACGCAAAAATAGAAAACCACTTTCTCATGATTGAAAACAAAGTCAAAAGATCAACTGAGGAATGTATCTTTAACTATGAGCCAATTTTTTGACTGTATAAAGAACTCCTAGAAATCAAGGAAAAAAGACTAGTAGAGCAATGGCAAAGGACATAAGCAATTAATAGAAAAACAAATGCAAACATATGCTCAGCTTTATAAGAAATGCAGACTTATTATGAGTAGATTCTACACTTTTTAAAAATACAGTTACACTTACACAGTGTATGTGTGACTCATGAAGACCATATGCAAAATGGCAGTATTAACCACATTTTCAATTTTCAATTATCTACCCTTGACCCAGCCAGCAAAGCTACTTCTGAGATACGTTATGTAACAAGCACAGATTAAGGCATGTTTTTGGTTCTCCATTACAGCTGTCTGTATTACCAAACAACTAATAGGGCCTAGTCAAGTAACTATACCATCTAATAGTCTAACATAGACACACAGTGTAGTATATGGGGGGGAGGGGTAAAAATAAGGATAAGTTTTACTTGTATCATACCAAACAAACAAACAAAAAACCACCTTAATAATGGTTACTCAATGGGTTGGGGTAGACAGTGAGACAAGTGGAAATAAAAACTACTGTTTTATTTTCATATTATTGAATATGGGAAGGAAGGATTCCTGAGGCCCCACCTCTAGCTGAAGAGCTACTGGCAGTGATGGATGCTAGGTGAGGAGTCACTTTTCTTTGGGCAGGTGGCTGCAGGCAGGTTGCCCATACCCCAGTATATAACCCACACCCATGTACACACACAAATTGGACTCTGGATTATTTAAAAAACAAACAAACAAAAACCATGAAGCTGAGAGTGAGATGGGTATAATCAAGAAGATACATTACATGTACCCATGAAATAATTGTCAAAGAATACGGCATTACATGGCTCTACTCTATGTACAGAATACTTTAATACCAGGAGATTCAGGATTCAGTGTCAAAGAGAAAAGCCATCTACTTACATCCTAGCAACACCCGTCTGCACTGACTCCTGGTATAAGACACTATGGAGGAATTCTCAGTGCTTCCACTACCTTACAACTACAGATGTCACCAAGACCCCCACCCCACCCCCCAGGCAAGAAAGTCCCATCTGTGAAATGAGAAAACAACAACAAAATTTCCTTTCTCTCTCATCCAGTAACAGATTAAGTGAGCAACTATGGCAAAGGCTATTTTTGTTTTGTTTTGCTTGTCTGTTTTGGTTTGTTTGTTTCTAAAATTCAGTTTAGCCTCGGAATTTTAGAGAAATGCATTCCTGTACCATGAGATAATCTTCTTTTTCACAAGTTTCCTTAATATTAGGTATTCAAACACCAGAGGATAGGGAAAGATAAACATAAAAATTATAAAAATGTAAGCCTTTACTTCCTGACACAACCAAGTACTTTCCCACAGGAAAACACCAGTGTTTTATATTAATTCATTCTAATGAAAATAATAATTACAAAAAAAAAAAGACCCATACTTTCTATGAGTTCTCTGGGGTACAGTCATAACAAGGAATTGCAAACATTTTAGAAAAAAAACATGCACCAAAAGCAAGGGAAGGGAATTTTCTGGACATCTATAACTTTTTTAAAGAACATTTAGATTTAGAGAAAACATGGCAGTCATGTTTTTGTCGTGTTCAGGATTAAAGTGAGTCTCCAAAGATGGAAGGCCTTATCCCATCTAACTGCCCAGTCTTCAAAATGCACACAGCTTAGCACCCAGCTGGGAACGTCCAGACAAGGAGCCCACAGCTCCAGCACTAGGCACTCTCTGTAGCCAAGCTAGAAGCCTAGGGAAGTGAGCTATATCGTCACTAAAAGAAAGAGCAACTTGCCTGGTAAAACCATTCTGTATAAGTTCTCTTTGAAGCTTCTGATCTTGAGCGGCATATTCAGAAAGTTCAGATTCCACAGCTGGAGGCAGAATGTTTGGAATAAACTTAGAAAACAAAGTCGGAGCCATCTGAACCCATTCTGTGAGGGAAAACATATGATTTGTTAAGAAAATAATAATAATAATAATAATGTAGAAAACAAGTTTCTTATTTAGACAACAAGAATATATATATTAAACCAATTGAAAAATCTTGATCCAGTCCTATTTTGGTGAACACACAAATATGTATTTTCTTTCTAAAAAGTATAAAGAAAATGGACATTTTTACATTATTAATTCAAGAAAACTGAATGAAAATCTATAACTTTTGAATAACTCTTGTAAAAAAATTATGAAGATGTAGGAAAACACTAATGTAGGAAAATACTAATTACTAGGCATCTCCAAGAGGAAGAGGTTTTGGAGAGAAGCAGTTTGATGGCAATACAAGCTCTATGAGTTGTTAATTCAAGCAAACCAGCCAGAGAAGACAACTCGGAAATATTAATATTGTGTTAAAAGAAACTATCCAAACGGGGGCAGGGAGGTGGAGAACTAGGCAGTGCTTTGGAAATAAAAATCTTTTATGTTAAATTCAATTCCATTGGGGGGTGCACAACAGTAAAAGAGAAAAAGACCAAAAGAATAATCTATAGAAAATGAAAGGACAAGGGGAGGTCATAGAAATGTATTTCCACCAGACGTAACAAAAAGCATGTATTGTACAAATCAGGTTCAGGGATGAGTAAAAGACAGGAATGGGCCAGGCGGTGGTGGCACACATCTTTAATCCCTGCACTCGGGAAGCAGAGGCAGGTAGATCTCCGCGAAGTTTGAGGCCAGCCTGTCTACAAAACAAGTTTCAAGATAGCCAGGATTGTTACACAGAGAAACCCTGTCTCAAAACAAACAAACAAACAAACAAAAGACAGGAATGGATTATTTCAAGAAACAAATACACAGCATTAAGTAGGCTTGTTAATATTAATTACCCAAGGTAAAACACACATGTGCACTGGTCCTCCACTCAGGGATGGAACTGCTACCTGGTTAGGGCTTTCAAAATGTCCCCTTATAAATATGCCCGGCTGGAGTAACTAAATATTCTGGATGTTTATACTGAAAAAACATGAAAATACCAATGCTCTGTGACGCCTGTAAGCCCTCTTTAAAAACTTCAATCTGAATCTGAAAGCCCACATTTTTGATTCTGTGTGGTGGTAGAAAAAAAAAACCAATGTCCAATTAAAGAGAGCTAAATTGAAGGAAACATGCAAGAGCTGGGAGCAATGCAGGTCAGCCTACACCTTGCACAGTGCCAGGCAAATGCTCTCAGTGGCTTGCCCCTCTGGCAATGTGGCAAGAGTCATTAGAGTGTTCTGGGGAATGACTACCAAATCAGCCTGAGGTTCCAGAAGCCAAATCCTTCATCAACTTCAAGTAGTCATTAAAATAAAGATAATGAAACAAAAGTGTATATATTAGATGAAAAGCGCAGAGTAAGATTGCTGCAGCTGCATCTAAAGTGAGTTTCTAAAAACTCTGCAGGAAACTTAACATCAATGCTAAGTCCTCAAATTGCCAACTGGTGAGGGCAGGAATCTAAGGTCCAAAACCTATTAAGGTGATTGAAATGTGGCACACAAAGACTAACATTATTGAGGACACCTGTAGCAGAAGCAGCTTCTGCGTTTAAAATGCAGCTTTTGAAATAGTCCAATCTTAATCTGTCAGGTGACTAGAATTTTACTAGACCAGGAACATAATGGGCACTGGCAAGACATGAAAATGTCAAAGCATGTTTTAATAGTGTCTCTGAAAAACGCCTAGGGCAGCAAAAGGTTAGTCTGTGATAAAATTCACCTTTTCAAAAGGACAATTCTCAAATACAGAATTCTCCTCACAAGGAGTATAAATCCTATTACAAGAGCTTACCCTGGAAAAAGAGCATTTAGATAAACAAGCATCTACAATTTTTTCCTACCCATAGTGATTAGCTTTATTCTGTAATTTTGCTACATGTATAAAAGGCCATGGATGATAAACCTGCCTACTTAAGAGGCAGAATTTTTCAGACTACACTGGGAAGACTTCCAGCATAAAAGAAAAACATCATTCATAATCTAGTATACAAAAAAATTCATGAGGCAACTTAATAACACTATAGGATAATGAAATTTAAATATCATAAAAACAATAGAAAATGTAATAAAATATTTTTGTGACTTTATAAAATAATACAAATGATTTCTGTTAAAAGTTATAAAGAATAGGGCTCAAGACCAAACCCAAAGTTAGATAATAAACACTCCACAAGTCACTAATCATTTTATAGCAGCCTGAGAAAGAATAATTTCTTGCCCAGCAGTGATGGTGGATGCCTTTAATCCTAACACTCAGGAGGCAGAGGCAAGTGGATCTCTGTGAGTTCTAGGACAGCTGGGGCTACAGAGAAACCATGACTCCAAAAATAGTAATTATTATTTACTGAATCTGCTTCCTTGATACCAGTTTCACAATTTAGCTAAAAATGCTTATTGGTATCGGGTTAGATTTTTTTTTTAGTTTTATTTACTTATTTTATGTGCGAGTGTTCATGGCTGAAAAGGGCATCAGATCCCACTATTGATGGCTGTGAGCAATGAGGTGGTTGTTTAGAATTGAACTCAGGACCTCTGGAAGAGTAGCCAGTGCTCTTAATTACTGAGCCATCTCTCCAGGCCCCAATCACATTGATTGTAGGATGAGATTTCTATAAGCTCTCCTGTGGGTAGGTTGCAAACAGCTACAAAACTCAGTGGCAAGCTTGAGGCCCTACAAAGGCTCTTTGGATTGCTCTATATCTAACCACGCTTTTACTATGAAGTATGCACACTAAGGTCATTCATAGGCCTTGCTTGTGAATATAGGAATTGTTTATGTGAACTAGAATATGTAATTTGAATGTGTATTCCTATGCATATATATAGTGTGAAATGAAGGAGAAACTTCATAACAACAAATACAAAACTAAGCCTAAACACGAGATTCAATTTCTTGCTTTGTTTTGCAACACAGTCTAGCTATGCTGCTTTCAGGCTGGCTTTAGACTCACCATCCTCCTGCCTCAGTCCACAGAGGATGGTACTTTCAAGTGTCAGCACACCTAGGACATGCATCAGCAAATGCTTTTGTGGATCTCTTAGGTGCTGAATTCCAAATGAGCCCTAAACCAACAGTTCTAGGATTTTTACTACAGTAAATCCAAATGTCACTTGGCCTCAGGAAGCATGTAAAGAACCACTGCCCTTTTGGATAAGGCTATAATAAATAAAAACACAGGCCCAATCCCAACAGAAATGACAGGTGTTTACCTGGTCTGAGAGTGTACAGGCCTTTCACAATATTTGCCATAGTTGAAGGTGTAACCTGAAATGGTGTTGACTGGGCTTCTAAAAGTAAAGCTGGAATAAGAAGAAAAAACAGGTAAAAAAAAGAAAAAAAAGGAAGAAAGAAAAATAAACAAAAATAAAAAAAGAAAAAAGCATGTAACACTTGCTAACAGTAAAAATTTCTCTCTCTTAGTATCACTAACCCTGAATGGTAAACACCACAAGAAAGAGAAGGATTACACAGATTACAAAAGTCTTCAGCACAGCACAAACATTACCAAAGTCTTTGGCACAGCACAAACAGGGATCTGCACTAGTTTGCTGCAGTACTAATCATTGAACAAGTGCATGAGTCTTGAAAAGTAATGCCTTCTAAGAGAAACAGCACTGGGGGGAGGGGCACCATTAATTAGCTCAAAGTGCCTGCCTGTGGGGGTGGGGGGGAAATGACTGTGACCCCCTTTCTTCAAATTATCAAGGTCTAAAATGGCTGGATCAGAAGTTGTTTTGGGTTTTATTGGCTGAGCAACTCTAATACAACATTTGAAATACTCAAATTTCTTTCATGCTCAAAAAGCTACAGATTTCGCTGGGAATGGTGGCATATACCATTAGTCCTGGTGCCCAAGAGGCAGAAGCAGGCAGATAGATCTCTCTAAATTAGAGGCTAGCCAGAACAACATAGTGAAACTCCCTCTCCCTCAAAAACAAAGTGAATTACAGATTTCAGATTAGGGATTTTCTACTCACAATTATTTTGCTAACTGTAACAAAGCCTACATTCACAAATGCCATAGCTCTATCTTCTTGCAAAAACATCTTCCTATGCAAAAGGCCACCAATTCAACTCTACTTCAGCAACTCTGAAACCAACCTTGACTTTTGACTCTAAACAGAGTCAGGTTTCTTTTACATTAATTACCTATATTTTCTCCATTTTTAAAGCAAGTAATCACTTCAATAAAACTATTATATCATTAACAGATACTAATTCCGCGTTTATTGGGCACAGCAAGTGCTACTGCCCTGAAACAACAATTCATTTGTCTCTCAAAGACTAAGACAAACAAAAATACCCACAATATAAATATTTACTACCAAACAAAAAGGGACGGAAGACTTGCTATGGAATTTACTAATAAAGATCATCAGAGGTGCTTTGTTTATTCTGTTCATCTCATCATCCACATATAGTTTTGATTTTGAGTAACAAATTTTAAGGATGACAAATGTGAATAGTCATAAAATCTTGATACCTTAAAAAAAACCTAATGTTTAAAAACTGAAATTCTAAATGTTGTATTCTGAAAGCCTTAAGGTACTCAGCATATACCCCAAATGTAAGGGCTCCTTTTACTAATCTAGATTCCCAGTTTTTAACCAATACCTGAGGCCTTCAGCTTAACCAGATACTCAATATGTGGCTAAGTATTGACCTCTGCCAACAGTGCCTACCACAATTTCTATGTCAACCTGACAGCTATGAAGAAACAACTTTTTAAAAGTTTAAAAGACATACACGGCAGATGAAATGTATATAAATAATCTGAGATGAACTAACTATAAATAATTATATTCAAGGATAACTATTACTACAAGCTGGGGATGTAGTTCAGTTTGGTAGTGTTTGCCTACCATGTACAAAGTACTGAGTTTGACTCCCAGCACCACATAAACCAGGCATGGAAGGAGAAAGCAGGAGGATCAGAAACTCAAGGTCATTTTGAAAAGTTTGTACAAGAGATTCTATCTCAATAAAGCTAACAAAACAAAACCTCCAAACAGTAAAGAAAGGCTTAGCAAGAGCTGATAAAGTATTTTAATAATTTTCTAACATCCTCTCTTTATCTACACTCTTTGGAGAAAGTATTTAAGTTTAAAGGATGTTCCAGCTTTTCTTTTTCCCTTAAAAAACTGGGACTTAGCCGGGCGTTGGTGGCGCATGCCTTTAATCCCAGCACTCGGGATGCAGAGGCAGGCGGATCTCTGTAAGTTCGAGACCAGCCTGGACTACCAAGCGAGTTCCAGGACAGCCTCCAAAGCCACAGAGAAACCCTGTCTCGAAAAACCAAAAAAAAAAAAAACTGGGACTTGCTAAAGATGGAAGGGGGCAGGGTGTTTACTGCACCCAGAAAGTTCTGGCCTTTGATTTTTATATGGCTGGGGAACTAACATGGCAGGTCTTTCTGTTCTCTGTGAATATGCACTGCTCTCAGTGGTTGATAGACAAAGCTGCTAGAGCTGCTTTGGCCTATGGCAAGGCAGGGTACAGCCAGGTAGGAAATTAAGCAGAGATACAGGAGAACAGCAGAGCCTGGAAGACACTAACAGTCACCCCAAAGAACAACATGCAAGAGCACCCCAGTAAGCCATGAGTCATGTGGCAATACATAGATTAATAGAAATGAGTTCATTTAAATATAAGAGCTAGTCAGTAATAAGCCTGGGCCACTAGCCAAGTGTTTATTATTAAGTCTCTGAGTGATTATTTAGAAACAACTGTGCCATATGGCTGGGTGGGACAGAAAAGCCTCCGGTTACAGGAAACTTGTATTCCCTCTGAATCATGTACTCAGTCTTCCTTCACCAAACATACTACCACAGACACTGGTTTTACAAACACTGGTGCTAGTTATGTGTTGTTCTAGAAAATGGTTTCTTCCGAAAGCCATGTATCAAAGAACAGGGTACTTCAACAATCCTGTTCCTCACAGAAATTATCAATCATAGGTGTTAAGTCTAGGTATAGACCTCTAGTTCTAATCTCCCTTCCTCGGTTATGACATTAACTCTCAAGTATCTTCCTGGATCCAGAGCTCCCTCTGATGTTTCTAACGTTCCTGGGTGCTTAAAATTTTGCACAGAGTTTTCTTTTTTGAACTTTATTTTTATTTTGCAAGACAGGGTTTCTCTGTATTGTTTTAGAGGCTGTTCTGGAACTCGCTCAGTAGACCAGGCTGACCTCGAATTCACAGATCCGCCTGCCTCTGCCTCCCATGGCTGGGATTAAAGGTGTGAGCCACCAATGCCCGGCCTTTTGTGAAATTTTTGTTATATGTATTTATAGTGTGTGTAGTGCACACACATGCATGAATGCCGCAGTGCTTATGTGGCAGTCAGAAGACAACTTCTGAGAACCACTTCTCTTTCTACTTTCCTACTTCCAAGGATTAAAATGGCCAGGCTTGGCAGAAAGCCATTTTACTGCCTTCACTGTGCATTCTTTTACTAATTTGTTCTGGAAATGAAAGCTAAAAACTACATGAATTCAAAATGTGTCAAGGTCTGAAAGTAAAATGTAAACTCCTAAGGCAATCTAAGTACAATTATTTGAAACTCTGCAAAATAAGCTATCTTTAACTGCAAAAGTCAACAAATTATACTTTCTTTGAAAATGTCCAACCTAGTTACTACATATTTATTGTCACATCTGCTCAGTATAACCCCATGAAAATACTTCAATTATTGTAAGTTCTCCTAGCTCTATATTCAGTTTAATTCAAAGTGAAAAATTAATTTAGAAGGAAAGCAATTTTGTTCCCAGTCAAAACCATGTCTCTGTATTTTCTAAGGACACATGTATGCAATGATCATACATAGTACTGTATTCTTACAAAATATTCTTATTACAAAATATTAAAACATAAATAATCTAGTTTTGGCACAAATATTTTCTTTTTCCTGCCTTACTAGTTTAAGATATGGACCCTCACACACCAGTTTGAAATATCTCCCATTGAGAGATGGGGATCCATGATCTGCCCCCAAAGTCTAGGCTCTGTGACTGCTCACTAAATAGAATGCAGTAAATTTTTCTGAGCCCAGTACTTTAGACACATTTTCCAAGTTTCTGGAGAAAACCTGAGACATTAAAAACCACACTATGGGGGAGGGAGTGTGGGAGGGGGTTGGTGGGAGGGAGTGGGAGGAGGGGAGGGAAAGGGAGCTGGATTGACATGTGAAGCAACCTTGTTTCTAGTTTAAACTTAAAAATAAAAATATAAATAAATTTAAAAAACCACACTAACTTAGCAGTCATGGAAGCCAGCAGTGGGAAAGCCCCAGTTGGGCCACCTATGCCAGTGTGGAACAGGGCAAATAAACTGCTTTACCAAACCCTTTCCAGATTACACAGCAAATTAAAAGATGCATGCTGACTGAAGCCACAATATTTTCAAATGACAGTAAATGGGCTAGTAGGATCTCAAAGTGTGTTAAAGGTCAAAAGAAGGAAACTAAAGTTCAGATTTTTAGAAAATCACAGACACTGGCTGTACTTACTTGCGTTGTAGCTGCTAAAATCAAAATAACAAACCTGAACAATGGTTTTGATTTTTTTTAATCTCTGTGCCTCAATTTCTATAGCAATGACTACCTACCCTAGTGTCATGAAATTTAAATACTAGAACAGGTCCTACTACATGTAAAACTGTGTGTGCCTGTGATGATCCTCTATACCACTGTTAAAACATTCAGAGAGCTCCCTTGTCCTGGGACCCAAACTGTGTAGCCAGCAGTCACTTTCTGTGTCTTCTATCATTCAATACCTACTAACTGCTCAATAAATATCTAATGTGTTTGGTTTTATCCCATTTACAAAAATTTAAGGGCTTTTTCTATTTGCTGGGAAAAGGATGTAACCTTCATGGAAACCCCACACTAGAAAGGACTCTCATCCAATCTAAGCATAATATTCTCTTCAATATTCTTTCTGTATGCCCAATAAAGTTAACTTACAAATTATTAGCATGTATACAGACATTTAGAAAGAAAATACATATTTCTATCAGACATAGCATTTCTTCATGAAATTTTCACAAAGAAAACATGCTTTAAAAAGTTAAAAACAATGTCAGTACCCAAGGCTAGAAGCTGGTGCAATAATATACCTCTGTCATCTCAAAACTTGGAAGGCTCAGGCAAAAGGACTGCTTAAAGTTCTAAGCAAGACCCTCTCTCGAAACCAAAAAAAGAGGCCTATCTCAGGGTTAATGTACAAAAATTCTAAGCACCTGCCCAGTCTTAAAAACAATGCATGTTATAGGTCCAAGCTCCAGGATCTCTATTTTGGAGATTGGACTCTCTGGCAGCAAGATGATGTCAACTGAATCTACACATTTTGTGAAAACTGTGCTTAGCAAAAGTAAACTGATCCAGTATATAAATCCCTTTTCTTAATTTAAAATCGAAAATGACAAAAGGTCTGTGATTAAGCTTAATTACTTTGTAAATTATAGTATAACTTCTGTATAGCAGTAACTAATAACTAAAAGACTGTAAGAAAATATAAACTACAATCTACATTAGTACCAAATTACTAAAGTATGCCTTGCTGGATACTGACCAAAACATGAGCTTTTTTGAAGGTGCTGAGTAACCTGGAGTCCCCTTGAGGTGGGACATTCCTTTAAATGAAAAGGAAATGGTGTCACCTATTATGAGCCAGGGATGGGGAAAAGACTGATTGAGCTTGGCACCTGCATCTTACTTAGCTATCAATACAGCCATGGTAAATATTGCTAAACCACAGGACACTAGCAGCTTGCTAACATGGTGAATAGCAACCACACTAGACTAAGAGTAGAAACCAGACAGAGCCTGTGCTGGCCTTCAGACTGGGTGTCCGGCAGTGACCCTGCTAGTCAGACTTCTGATCAGTGAGGAAATGGCTAGACAGATCTGGGCAGGCGCAAGACATTGTCCATAACACAACCTGCCTAACTAAGTATCCCAGAACTGTAGATGATGAGTAAGCCACAGTTTCAATCCCCAGGTGTGTCTCTACACACTGAGGTAGGTTTTACTGCTTCCTGTTCTCTGGCTCCAGAGATGTCAATATTAGAGTATGAGAAACAATGTTCTCAGATGATAGGAAAGAGTGAGTGAGCTGAAGAAGGAAGGGAGGGAGGAAAAAGGAGACCGTGGCTAGTGCTGTCTCACCCCCATAAGAAGCGAAATTACTTACGCATTAGGCTGTAAATGTGCTTGTCTGCAACGTGTTCCGTAAACAGCTTTATAAGATCATCTTTTAAGTCTCTGTTAAGCTTTGTTTCTATGTAAAACTTATTCTGAAAAAAAAAGTTTTTATACATCAATAAGGGAAAGTAATCATCCCCATGAGTGTGAGCACTAATTACAGTTTTAGAGAATAATGTAAAAGTGTATTGATTAAAAAACAATAATAAAAATACCCAGCAAACAGTAAAACCCAGTCATTCCTAGTCTTGGGCCTTTTTTGCATGTGGTTGAAAGGCTGGGTGATACAAACAATCCTTCAATTCTTCGTCACAAGCATCAAAAGGCAATGCTGGGAAACTCAGTAAAGGTACTCCTCTGCATCCAGGCTGAATACAGGCAATGGAAGCTACTAGGAAGAGCCTCTGTAAACAATCCCTACAGTAATGGTTAACTACCAAATTCCAGATACCATCTCTCTGCTCAGAGACAGACACCCGATTAGACTGAGATCAAACAGTGCTGTATGGTATACAGTAAGGGACAAAACAGAGCGGCTGAACTCCAACAACCCTGGGAACTGCCTATGCTCAAGGTCTCAAGGTTTGTTTCCTTATTTACCCGAGCCACTTTGAATCAAATTTTCTCTTTCTTGCAATCAAAAGCAGCCTAACTAAGAAACAAACAAACAAAAATCTAAAACTACTAAATTTGCTCATGTTTAAATGCTAGCTCAATGCCAAAGAGTAGAAAAAAAATGAAAACAAACTGCTCACTCTCTTGGTTCTGAACAGTTTTCCCTTCTTTAAAAAATTTTTTAAAAAAGCTATAAAAAGGCAGTGGTGGCCTTTAATCTCACAGAGAGAGGCAGCTCTCTGAGAGTTGGAGACCAGCCTGGTCTACAAAGCACAAATTCCAGGGCAGCCAGAGCTGTTAAACAGAGAAACCCTGTCTCAAAAAAACAAAGCAAACAAACAAACAAAAACCATAAAAACAAAATGTACATGCTTGGTTAAAACCTGCAACCATGCCAACAGCTGTGCAATCAAAAGCCTCCCAGAGCTGATCTGTGGTCTAGCTCTACAGGTTCCCATTCTGTAGAGAAAACCATATGGTACATTTGTTCTGAAACACTCTTGGCATGTGAAGAGGTGACCCCTCCTCTCCTTGGAAGAAAGCACTTGCTGAAAAAACACAACACACTCGTTATACCTTGTACATTGCTCTTTTACCCTAATGTTAGGTCCTAGGAGACTGTTCTTTAAAAAAATGTATAAACATGCCATTATTTTAACTGTATATTTTCCTACTGTTTTCCATAAATTATCCCCTACTGATGACAATACAGACATGTCCAATGTTGTCACTAAAAAGAAATTACAGTATTTACATCTATTTATTACTTTAAGTGTCCCAAGGCTGTTTTATCAATTTACATTTCTACTCTAAATTATAGCAGTTTCTGTACAGCTTCATCAGAAATGAGCATTTCCAAGAACTTTTTTTTCTTTGAGACAGGGTTTTTCTGTGGCTTTGGAGGCTGTCCTGGAACTAGCTCTTGTAGACCAGGCTGGCCTTTAACTCACAGAGATCCCTCCTGCCTCTGCCTCCCAAGGGTTGGGATTAAAGGCTTGAGCCACCACTAGCCCGCCCCATGAACTTTAAAAAAAATAATTTTAACTTGTATTTAACAATGATGTTGGATATATTTTCCTTCTTTATGCTAAGTATTTCCTGTGAACTATTATTACTGACTTTTTTCTAAGTAATCCATGAAAACTAGTTAACAAAGACAATAAACCCAAGTCTTATGTTTTGCAAATTTCTCCACCTATTTTTGTTTTGGCATTTTGCTTCATTCTTACATCAATGAACATTCTACTTCCTGATAAGACTTAAAGGTCTTCTCTCAGCAAAAATGTGGGAATAGGACCTGTGGAGATATGGGGCCTAGGGAATACGGGCATAGGGGATACGGGCATAGGGGATACGGGCACAGGGGATACGGGCACAGGGGATACAGGCACAGGGGATACGGGCACAGGGGATATGGGGCATAGGGGATATGGGCATAGGGGATATGGGGCATAGGGGATATGGGGCATAGGGGATATGGGCATAGGGGCGGCACAGAAGGAGATAAAAGAGGTTTGGTTGGAGGAGAAAGTAAACAGAATGTACTACATATAGTATGGAATTGTGAAAAAACAAATTTAATTAAAACATTTTTGAAGGGGAGAAGAAATGCCTTTCTTCACTCTCAAAATTGGGCATAATTTCTTCTCTCTCTCACCTTCACTTTTAGGTTTATTCTATTTAGATGACCTGTAAAGAGTAAGGTGGTGAGGCGATTAGGCCTCTTACTCTCAACTCCAAGTTCATAAACACACCCATCTTTAATCTGGCTCAGAAATGGAAATTACATAATACAGAACACCAGAACATAGCTAACCTCCTGGTTTGGGGAAGGGTAAACAGAACTCTAACTTACCATATATATGAAAAGAGGCACGATGCTCTGCAATGCTCCCATATACTGTCCCAGAGCTATATTAAATCTTTCGATATAAAGGTCTGGAGGGCTGGCCTGTAAGAAAGAATATTAACATAAGCACTCTGAGAAAGCAGGTGAAAGTCCCTCTTCAACCTCCTGCAACTCAAACCAAGTCAGAAAGAATCCAAATTCCGAGAGAGGAGAGAGGAGAGAGGAGAGAGAGAGCGGGAGAGGTGTGAGGGGAGAGGGTGAGAGTGGAGAGGGGAGAGGTGAGAGTGGAGAGTGGAGAGGGAGAGGGGAGAGAGAGAGAGAGAGAGAGAGAGAGAGAGAGAGAGAGAGAGAGAGAGAGAGAGAGAGAGAGAGAGAGAGAGAGACAGACAGACAGACAGACAGACAGACAGACAGACAGTCCTCTTCTGGCTTCTTCAGCAGGTGTGTGCCTCTGCGTGCGCGTGCGCACACACACACACACACACACAAATACACATAAAATAAATTAAAAATGTTTTTAAAAGTGAAATTATAGAAGCCAAGTCTTAAGCTAGGAGAAATGTTCAATGGTCTAATAATACTCTTAAATGTTTTTAATTTTTTTAATTTGTAATTTGTAAAAAAAAAAAAAAATCCCAGTCCTCGGGAGGCAGAGGCAAGAGGATCTCTGTAAATTCGAGACAAGCATGGACTACAAATGAGCTAGTTCCAGGACAGCCTCCAAAGCCAGAGAAACCCTGTCTCAAAAAACCCAAAATTAAAAAAAAAAAATCTGTAACTTTCTCAAAATAATGAGTTCCATGGCCCTTCAGTGGGCAACTCACTGTTCCCACTAGTTTCTGCCACTAACTGCAAGGCCCCTGAGCCTCCAATTTAACCAAAATGCCAAGAATAGAGGAGACAGAAAAATATATTTCTCAAAAACAGTCTTTTGAAACCTAAACTTTACACCAAAATCTAAACTAGCACTGTTAAACCTAGATTTATTTTAGTATTAATAAGGCTTTATGGTCATGAGTAACTAATTTATCCCTTTGAACTGCAATTTCCACACTAGGAGCAATACCTACTATAATACTATTTCTAAGGATGTGTCAAGAATACGACAAAACAACCTCATGAGAGAAAACAGCAACTTTGTGTCTAACACTTAGAAAAAACAATATTTTTTTGTTTGTTGGTTTCTCTGTGGCTTTGGAGCCTACTAGCTCTTGTAGTCTCAAATTTACAGAGTTTTGCCTGCCTCTGCCTCCTGAGTGCTGGGATTAAAGGTGTGCACCAACCACCACCACCCAGCAAATCCAGCAGTATTTTAAAAAACAATCTTTGCCAACCAGAACTTGGTGAAATGGTTCCCACTGTGGGCAAACGTAACCACCTGAAATGAGCAGACTGGGACACACCATCTTCACCAAAGCAGTTTCAAAGAACTCAGGAAATGATACTCAGCATTCAAAGAAGTAAATTTTACATGCAAGGAAAAAAACATCTGAAAAGCTGTTACACTGAAATATTTTTTTCCTTTTCATGAAAGGACACATGATCAAAAGGCACATTTAACAGCAGAGAGAATAAATAAAATTGAGCTCCTTATTCCTTTACAAAATCCCCAAGCCTCAAAGGCTAGGAATATTAAAAAGTACTTTTTGTGCTGAATCAAATGTCAGAACACTTAGTTTTTTACTTCTACATTTCATGCAGCACTTACTCAAAAACCTTTGAAATGACAAGACTATAAATTATGACAGTCTGAGAAAAATCAACTCCATCTTTTCCAGGAACCTAGAAATAAATGTCATTTTGAAAATACTAATCAAACTGTTCCTCTTTAAAACTTACATTCAATATACTCTGGTCCTCACTGGGAAAAATGCTGCCTAGTTTGAGTTTCACTATTCCAAAATGGCAGTTATCTGGCTTGGATATTAATTGGGGGGAGGGGAGCCCTCACATCAAATAAGAAAAAACAAGCTGAGGGAAAAATAACTATCATTCTAAACTTCTCCCAATCTTTAGTGAAGTAGTGCAAGTGCTTGACTGGAACCAGAGCCTCACCCAGAGCCAGACAAAAGTTCAAATGGGCTTAGCATTTTACTTTCACTTCTTTCTCCCTGAAACAACTGCCACTTAATTCTTTTCTGTCCTTCCAAAACATATTGCTAGCAGAAATAAGAGCCTAATAGCTCTTTACACAAATGTTAAGTTATGCTAACGCTAATGTGTACTTTTTCTAACAATCTATCTTGAAGTAGGTTTTATTCTATTGAGTCTTGGAACATTTTGGTCTCTGGAGAGATTTGCACTATTTAAAATAACTGAAGATGGGCTGGAGACATGGGTCATCAGTTAGAGCACTTACTGCTCTTACAGGGAACAAGCACACATGTCATTTCACAAGGGATCTGATGCTGTCTTCTTGTCTACAGAGGTTCCTGCACACACATAGTGCCCATGAACTCACGTGGGTGCACAACACATGAAAATAATAAATGATAAATCTTTAACCTAAAGGCTCCAAAAAGCCTTTATTTATATGTGGATTACATAAAATATTTTTTTCTATCTGGAATTAATGAAGGTACGTTGAAGAGTACCTGTACTACAAAGGAGTCTGAATCCCTTGAGCACAGGAGTTTGAGACTAGCCTGCCAGGGAAACAGTAAGAAAGTATGACCTCAAGAACTTTACCAAGGGACAGTCCAACTCTTAACAATGAAGAGCACAGACAGCAAGGTGGATTTAGTAAACATTACACTATCACTTGCCAAAGCATACACAATTCCTAAAACTAATTATAGACATTTTAAGATGAGTAACTTGGTCAGCAATGTTTACATAGGCATACTAGTTCCTAACACATAACAACTCTACTGCCAAGCTCAAGGATGGGACAGATGGACATTTGCCCTTTGGGAAATGAAAATCACTGAGACTTTAAAACACAGCAGGTAATATTCACTTGTGCAAACATGGAGGGTGTAAATGAAGAGACCACACTAGGCACAATGAACTTTACAGGCTGGGGGGTGGGTGGGATGGGCTTCACAGATGAGGGTCCAGAAACATAGGAACCCAAGGGGTGTGAATTCTATGGGTATGTCAAGAGGAAGGACAGATGAAGCAGGATGTCTGTACAGCAAATGAGGGGAAAGGAGCCATTTGAAGGAAGCTAAGAGTTCACCAAGAAGAATGAGACTTAGTTTTGGAAGAGGCCAACTTCTTTCTAGAAAGCAAGTCACCTCTAAACTCAGAGATCAGGTACAAGTTAAAAACGACAAGGACCAAAACAACTCCACATACAAAGGCTATTGAATTCAAAATAAAGGTTGCACTTTTGTTTTTTTTCTCACCACTAAGGTCTTCAAAAGTGCACCAGTACACACATTTCTTACATACTTGCTGCCAAGTTTTTCATTTCCCTAAACAAGTCTGCTTGAGCCATATGCACCAGAAGTGCCTGCTCATGTATGGGCGGGAGGCACACAGGCTAGAGGTACTTCAGGAAGCATGTTTGCCCTGGTTTGCACCTGATAGGAAACAAAATCCACATACAATTCCAACAACAAGAACCAGTCCAAAACAAACAAGAATGAGCAATCAATGGTCATTAATATCCCTCAATATTAATGGTCTTAACTCGCCCATAAAAAGACACAGGCTAACAGAATGGATTCAAAGACAGAATCCATCCTTCTGCTACATACAAGAAACACACCTCAGCTTCAAAGAGAGATGTTACTTCAGAGTTAAGGATTGGGAAGAGATTTTCCAATCAAATGGACCAAGAAACAAGCAAGGGTAGCAATCCTAATATCTAATAAATTAGACTTTAAAACTAAAATCAATCAAAAGAGATGAAGGAGGTCACTTCATACTCATCACAGGAGAAATCCAACAAGATGAAGTCTCAATTCTGAACATCTATGCCCCAAATACAAAGGCATCCACGTTCATAAAAGAAATATTACTAAAACTCAAATCACATATAAAACGTCACACACTTATAGTGGGAGACTTCAACACCCCATTCTTACCACTAGACAGGACTACCAGACAGAAACTTAACAAGGAAACAAAGGAACTAATAGAAGTTATGACCCAACTGGGTTTAACAGACATCTACAGAATATTCCATCCAAAAGAATATACCTTCTCAGCGCCACACGGAACCTTCTCATACTTGGCAACATAGCAAACCTCAACAGGTACAAAAAACTGGGAATAACTCCATGTATCTTATCAGATCACCATGCTCTAAAGTTAGAATTCAACAAAAACAAATAGCAGAAACCATGCAAACTCATGGAAACAGAATAATGTGCAACTGCACCATTCCTGGGTCAAAGAAGAAATAAAAAAAGAAATTAAAGTCTTCCTAGAATTCAATGAGAATGAAGACACAACATACCCAAACTTAAGGGATACTTTGAAAGCAGTGCTAAGAGGAAAGTTCATAGCACTAAGTGCCCACATGAAGAAACTGAAGAATAGTCACACTAGAGAATTAACAGCACAACTGAAAGCTCTAGAACAAAAGGAAGCAAACACACCCCAGAGGAGCAGACAGCAGGAAATAATTAAATTGAGGGCTGAAATCAATAAAGTAGAAACTAGGAAAATACAAAGAATCAATATAACAAAGAGTTGGTTCTTTGAGAAAAACCAAAAAGATAGACAAACCTTTACCCAACTTACCAAACAGCAGAGTGTGAACATGCAAATTAACAAAATCAGAAATGAAATGAGACATAACAACAAACACTGAGAATCATCAGGTCATACTTTGAAAACCTGTACTCCACAAAATTTGAAAGTTTAAAGGAAATGGACAATTTTCTGGATAGATATCACCAAAATTAAATCAAGAACAGATGAGCAATTTAAATCTTAAGGAAATAGAAGCAGTCATCAAGTCTCCCAACCAAAAAAAGCCCAGGGCCAGATGGCCTCAGTGCAGAATTTTACCAGAAATTCAAAGAAAAGCTTATACCAATTCTCCTCAAATTAATCCATGCAATAGAAGCAGAAGGGTTTTTGCCAAAGTCTTTTTACCAGGCTTCCTTACTAGCCCCTCCCTGATGACGAGATTGAGGACTACCTTA